TGTTCTCGGCTTCGATGATTTCCCTTGTTAATTGGTTTACACTTTTTCCAACACTTTGCTGTTGTTGAACTGTGCAACACACCCACAATCCCGACAGTGTATCCCAAAGCGGCCAGAGTTGGCGTTTACAATGTTGTTGGAGTGTTCTCGAAGGCGGTCATTTAGACATCGCCCAGTTTGTCCAACGTATTGTCTTCCACAGGAAAGGGGGAATGAATAGTCAGCCCCCTCAACGCAAGGCACAAAGTTGGTCCTATGCTTCTTGGGGCAGCAGATTGCTGGATTTGAGGGTGTGGTGACGTTTTTGCAAAGGCTGGACAGTTTGGTGGGTGCTAAAAACACGATATCAACATTGAAACTCGCTGTTTTCTTGAGGCCGTGGGAACAATTGTGGATGTAAGGGACGATGACTGGTCTTCTTGTCCTGTCTCTGTGTGTTTGTTCTCAGCACCCACCAAACTGTCCAGCCTTTGCAGAAACGTCACCACACCCTCAAGTGAGCGCTGTATGAGAGGAGTGTTCTTTGGGTGTGTGAATGCTTGAGTGACAGTTTTTCGAGTGCGCTAAACAGCCTATCTCTGTTCCCCGTTACTTCGATAGCAGTGGCGTCTGCGGCAGCACGTTTTTATTTATTTATTCCAGACTCCCCACTCATTTTCAGTAAAGGCCTACACCTACCTACACCAGTACGGCATTGATATATATATATATATATATATAAAGCTAGTGCAACCAGGTTTACTTTTTTGCTGGAGGGGACAGACCGACCACTCTAACATAGTTTTCACATTTATTATTTTATTTTTTTATTTGCACTGCAAGTAACGGCGCAATTGGACCCGATTAGTCTTTTCATCAGACATAGCGTAATACAAGATAATGTTCTCGTCGAAATCCGCGCATTTGCGCTTGATATTTCCAAAATGACGCGATTTTAAATCGAGTTTGCACGCCAGCCGGACGGTATACGTACAGTCCACTAAGCGGAAGAGACGACGCTTGGGGTGGGAGGGGGAGGGCGTTTTTCTCTCTCCGCTCTCCCTACTGGAATGGTCTATATATGGGCCAGGCGGCTCGAATGTCGTGAAGTCGTGAAGATGCACCCACGATACCTTCGGCAGAGTTGTAATTTCTTTGAGGAACACGTGCTCTTTCTTTCCACCCAACGGATCAGGAATGCGTGTTGATCCCGTATAAGTAAATTCCTGGAGGTCCCGTAGTTGGTCCTCCGCTGTGAGATTGTTAAAGTACGTTATACTCACAGCGGGTCCCCAAAACCAGCAAAAACAACAGCCAACCGGGAGCAACATGCTCGCCCAAAAAGTTCGGCTATGTTTGTTTTTGCTTACTGTTAACACTGCATATACAACGGCGAAGTTTCCTGACAGGATGAGATATATTAGGACACCGAGATGAGTTGTGCTTGCGTATGAGGTGCGGCATAATCTGCAGACCTTTTCATAGATTACTGCTAGCAACCCGGAGATGCCATGTTTGACGATCCTGGTGATAATCCTGGCGATAGTTCGAAATTACGGAGGGTAAGCAAATTAGCGAAGTAAACAAATCCTCTTTTTGGTTCTTCATTTCTAAGCTAGGCAGCGCAAGCTACCGCCTGTTAAAAAGGGTACATCCGTCAGTATCCATCCAAGGGAGGAAGTGGCCGAGTGGGCTAACGCGTCTCAGCTCGGAGCGTGGAGCGAAAGCTTGCGCTGGGAACCTCCTGGGTTCGATCCCCGCCGCCCCCGCCCGTTTCGATCTGGATGAGTTTCGTACCGGCACGCGTTCGTGTGATCACTACTCCGTGATGCACGTTAAAAATCCCAGGTTAGCGGTTGTACCGCACTGGCTAAATTTCTCATCTACAGCTAAGAGACCGATTACCCGTTGAGGCGTATCTCCATCAAGGCTGTATAAACATAAAGAGCAAGCCAATTTTTTAGTATCCATCCATCGATCCATCCACGTTGTTGGAGTGCAACAGGCAACACCGATTGCGGAAGGCAGTAGGAAGCGGTAGCGACTATGGGCAACAGCACTGCCGTCGGTCTCCTGTGGAATTGAGGCTCGACGTGATTACACTGACCACTTCACGAGGCTAAACGCTAACAAGTGCGGTGCCCCCCTGAATATGAGCGAATGCAAACAGCGGCGTAGCATTGGGCACTGAAATCTACCTCGAGTCGTCATTGCTACAGGAAGGGCCACGTTCCTTCATGGCTAAGAAGACGATTCTGCAGTACCGACTGGCGTTACGCAGACCACGTTACAGACTGGTTCAGACCTTTGCGTTTCAGCGAGACCGACTGCGTTGCGGCTGCTTGTCACTGCTCACGACGAGATGGTTAGTATATGGCGACCGAGGTCCACGCAACGCGTCGTAGTGGAACGCAAGGAATCATAGCGCCGTCGGTGACATTCAAACGCAAATGTCTGATCCAGCCTCGAGGCTCGTAGACCGTGCATGCTCACGTACCGGCGCGCGTTCTGGCAGCCATCCACTTGTTGCGCGCCACCAAATCTCTTCGGAAAGCGAAGCATTATACATGGAAAAGGAAGTAATACCACAAGCACCAGAGTTTGCCGGAATCACGTTTGTGCATTTTCATAATTCATTGGCTCGTTCAGGCCCGCCGACATCCTCGTTGTAGTACATCATGTAGGTAATCTGAGGTGCGCGCGGGCACGCATGCGTCGGAGAGTTCTGCTGCGACGGCACATGTAAATTCGCTACACTGTTCGGAACTCGTTTCAACGACGTAGAAAAGAACGGAGAACACACGGGCACACACGCACGCGCACACACACACTCATACACAGACACATACACAAACACACAAACGTACGCTTGTTTGTTTGTCATTAGAGCTCGTGGTGACGTACACATCGCGATTCGCGACACTGTTAGCGCGAACACGACATCGACGCATTTCCGCATTTTACTTCAAAATAGTATTAGCGAGCACAAAATTTTATCGCTTACATTATAGAACTAAATGAGCTCTTTCCGTAGCAATAATAACTTGGATGACATCCCTTGGTTTCGAAGAGAAAAACTGGAAAAACCGGTGATCGTTTGTTCGCGCTAACAGTGTCGCGCTCTGTACGTACGTACGTCACCGCAAACGTTTACAAAAAAAAAACAAAAAAAACTCGAATGTGGATGGTGCAGCAGTTTTAAGTCCAGTGTATATGTGTACGAGCTTACCTTGAAATGGCAAACTCCGCTTCTTACAATGCTTAAAAAAAAAAATTTTTTTTTTCTTTTTTTTTTTTTTACGGCGTTTTGGTTGTAGGATGGCACAGAACAATGGAAGAGCACTTTCTGAGTAACGTCGAACTAGCGGCAGGAACGCAAGGTCTCAAAACGCTGTAGACGTCGACAACATACTGAATGGCGACCAGTTTTGTCACAATGGTCCGCTCGTGTAGTTCTGAAGCGCCTGTGGTAAGTGGCGCGAAATTTTTATAAAAAGGTTTATTTTCCCCGCCACTTCGAAAAACCTCACAAATTCTTCGTAGGTCGCCGTACTTTTCCTCTTTGCCGACATCACATCACCATGACAAGGGAGATATCCGAAGCTTTTTTTTATGTCCGAGTGCGTTGAAAAGACGTGTGTCAGCGCTCCATTTATAGCCCTGTTTGGCTCTGAGGTGGCGTTTCTGAAATCTTGCGTAAAGTAGATATGGGACAGACGAACACTGATTGGTTGATGTCGCATTTCTGTAGTGCATGTCGCGATTTCACGGTGTATATATATGTGTGTTTTCTGAGAATAAACTTCAGTTGCAAGTAGCGCTCTGTGTTGTTCGTTTCTTTTACTTGTCCGTTGTTTTTAGCGCTTTTACCCTCGCGCTCATCACCCACCTCCAGAAAAGTCGGTGAATTACGTGGTCTCGGCATTTTGTGGCGACAAGTGACGTCTTCCTGTCGTTATTTTTCAGTCTGTTGGGTGAATTCCATCGTAATAAATGCCGTGGCTGTCGAGCACGCTCTTGCTTTCCTTCGTGGGTCGGTCACGTAATGATCCAGTTTCCGGACGCATCTGTTTCGTTGTCAGGTGCATTGGGAATTTTGCGATCCCCCGCAATGCAAATCGACCCGTTAACTCGACATCGGAACCCGGTGCTGTTATAACGTCGCGCGTTCTATTACACTTCTGTTAAAATTTTGTTTTGGTATTTCTGTGCCTGCATTTGAGGCCTTTTTAGCGATTCCACAGATCGCATTTCTCAGCACGTCTGTTTCCGTTCGCGCTGTATGTACATCGTATAAAGGCAACGCGGCTTTTTATACGTATACACAGTGCGACACTGCTAGCACGCGAATATTATATATCGGCGCCTTTGGCATTTTGCTCAGATAGTGTCACACTACGTTTTCCATGTCGCGAAACGCAGTACTGGTGACGATATAACGGCTGGCCTCTCGTGGTCGATCTCCACGAATTCTGGGTCCGCGCTACGGGTATCTATGCATTACCGAGCAAACCGACGAGAGTATATATAAGCGTGCCCCGGGCGCGGGTTTCCCGCCTTTGCCTTCGTTATGCAACCATCCATTATTGATGTTTTCGGGACAGGAAATAGCGTCGGGTTGGCGTCCCTTTCGTCGGCGGGTCTCTCGTCTTTATGCGCGCATTATGCGCTGCCGTGCTTCCTCGTCCGTGCGCGCGCGCACGCACGTCTACGCCCCGTTTTCACCTTGCGATGGACCGCGTCGGACGCTACGAGCCTTCTCGGCCAATCCGGTGCTGTGAACTGATCACGTGACTGCGCTCCCCGCAGGTCACATGGTACTCGCACGGTATCCGATTGGCTGCAGGTTGACCTGAAGCTCCGCGCGCCGATGAACCGGAAGGTCACGTGACACCTTCCCGATTACGGATTGGCCGGGGTGCATCTCGTAGCGACCGCGGCGGTCCATTGTATAGGGTTGAAGTAGTTTGTCGGCACGAGAGTGCCGCATCGCTCAGTCTCCCCTTTTTTCACCTTTGCAGGCGCTGTCGTCGGACCGGCCTCGAGGTGCGTCGCCGAGATCGCGATGGGGACCCCAAGGTTACGCGGGTCTCCGCGCCGCGGGCCCGCCAGGCCAGCCCGCTGCTGCTGCTGGTCTGCGACGTCAGGGCGGCGCTCTGGTGAGTCCTCGCCCCGTTCCTGCACCCGAAGGCGTCTACTTTCCCGCAAAACAGTCGTGAGAGCACTCTTGCTGCTATCTGCCGAGCGATAGAAGGACTTGTAATTGGGCCAGTTGGTGAGCGTTAGGAAGCATGGTGTAAGGCGTAAAAAAACGACGGACACAAGGGGCCTGCCCGTGTGTGTCAATCTTCTTCCTTGTGTCTGTGTTTTTTTTTTTTTTTTTTTCGCCGCACGCCATGTTTCTTTACGGAGCTAGCTCGGCAAATGACGATGCTTGAAATCGGTTGAGAGTATTAAAGCTAAAACTAGATTCGATAAAAAAAGAAAAAAAAGTCTGTCAGCTTATTTTTTTTTTCGCAGAACACGGAGGTAGCCAATCACTGCGAAAAACAGAAGGATCCCAGGGAACGACGGAGCTCACGATACGGATTGATCTGAAAATTGCGATGAGCTCGGTGACATATTGCGCGAGTGAAAAGTCTCGCTTCCCGTCCTTGCGCGCATGCATGACGTCGTTTTGGTCTAGTCGTATCTTGAGCTTCGTCATTCGCTGGTACCCTGGCATTGTTCGCCTTGATTGGCTGCCTCGTGTTCTGGGGGAAAGGCGCACACCCGAACCTTTTTATTAAGTGTGTAGGCGCGTGTGAAGATTGGCTGGATTCTTCGAATAGCGCTGCGTCATCCATAGCCTTGACACTCTCAAAGCTAGAGATGACACTGCGCCATTCGATTGGAACCACGATTCGCGCACCTCTGAGTGTGCGCTGTGTCACTGAGCACGGTGGGATGTACTAGCACGTTCCTTTGAGGGAGGTGGCCAACTTAGTCGATCGGAATCGTAGATTCCTATAACCTATGGTTTGGGACACTTAGTGACGTAGTTGCAATCTCTGTATCAGTTGTGTAGCTGACATCGATTTCGGTTATAAATTCGTCAAATGTAAAGGGTCGCGAACGAGCTGGTGAAACAAGGTGAATCGTGTTGCGTATGCGTGTCTGTTGTCCCGTCTCGGTGTTGTCATGTTTCGTCCGGAGCCTTTCTGGACATATGACGAATCTGAATGGGCGAGATAAAAAAAAAAAAAACTTTATACGTGTCGAAAAAAAAAAAAAAGTTTCTACCCTAGTCACGCGGGAGGGCCAGACGACATCTACCCAAATTCCACTGAAAATTCAGCCAACCACTTCTCAGAGCCAGGATCGTGACTGGCTTCGTCGACTACTCAAATGTAAATCGGCTAATAATAATAATAATAATAATAATAAAAAAAATAATGCAGGTTTTAACGCAACCGACCTTACGAGCTCATGGGACCAATCAGGCAGCGTCAATAGGGACACCATCATGTGCTCGTCGTGTTTCTGGGCGTCGATTATCATCGCTGAACCAATCATGCATAACCAGAAAAGGTCCAGCGGCTTGCACTTTTGACGCTACTCCGTAGCGTCGGCTGCGTCTGGACTCCAGCTGAAACGAAGTTTCTGACGGTGCTATGACACTCAGCCGGCAGCACAACCCCCCGAATGATTCGTCACCCGAACGAGAGTTCGGTAGTCGTCGGAGAATTATGCCGCACTCGGTGAGTCCGCGTTTCATTGCATTACGCTGATGCGCGCGCGGTGTTCCCTGCGCGGTCGCCCTTGTTGATAACACGTCATACCGACGCCCCCTTCTCTCGCCCTATCGCTACACGTTGGTTGTGCCGAGCGTTCCGCGAACCCGAGGCTCGTAACAGGTGACGATACGGCGGTTATCGGCACGGTTGGTGGACGACGCGGTCTATCTCGTAGAAAGGTCCGTAGTCGTGCTGCCGCGGCGCCTGCGAGACTTCGCTTCGGAAGCTACCGGTCCGTGGTGCGTGCAGGGGCTGTGACCACGGACTAGGATACCTTGCTCGTGCCATTTTAAAAAGGCCGACGACCCGTCGTGTGATACCCACTGTGTATCGTAGAACAGGAGTGAAAAGAGCGTCATTGGTGTGTGACGACGAAACGTTCTAAATTGAACATCGGTCGTGGTTGTTCGAGGAACCGCTTGGCGTGTTCGGTGAGCTGAATTTGTTTTGCTTTATGCTCTCAAAAACGCTATGAATCGTGTTGTGGGACTATGCTAATGTGTCCTAAAATAGTGTAAAGCAAACAAGCGTCTTCTAAATAAATTTATGCCAACTTTCGCGTACTTTTCCCCGTATTTCCGTTCGATATGTTGTGAGGTTGGTCATACCGTGCCGCGTATTTCTTGACGTATATCCTCCTCGCAGAACTCTGCCGCCCGAGTCTTCTTTCTTTAACCACATCTCCAGCTTTAGCTTATCGTCGGTAGGGAAGCTTGTCTTTGAGAATTTCTTACAACGCTCATTTCGAAACTTTCAGGAAGAAAAACATCGGTGGATCTAGAGGAGATGCGTGATAAATTGAGAATTTATCTATTCACCATCTCCACCAAATCTCTCGTGAGCAGAGCGGGCCTATACCGCTCCTCAGTTTGCTACGAAAAGCTCCGTTGTCCTCCATTAAACATTCGAACCCATTTCTGTTCCAATTCTCTCATTGCAATTTCGCAAAATCGTCGGCGCATCTCGCGGGGTCTGGCATTTCTCCCATTCAATAATCTTATCACCGCAGCCCGAGCTTCGCGGTCGGCACGCCGTTCCTTTATTCGCACACCCCTATTATGGATTCTGGATACGGTTCGTCATGCTAGGATAAAACGGGTTTTCTCATAGGGTCCGCCCGCTTCCTGAAGTGCATACTTCAAAAACAAATTAATCTGCCCACATTGCCGCATGCAAAGATGCGCACGTCCTTTAAAGCACATAAAAAAAAAAATCGGGAAAGCGAATTGTATTATGTTAGCCCTAAGGACCGAGTCTTCGAAGCGAAGATAAGAACTTTCCCATACCGTCCAGTATGCAATAAACCGGGACAAATGTTTCAGAAAGCCGGCACAACGCGAAAGAAAAAGTGCACACCACGAGCAGCAGCGTGAAGCGGGTCAACGCGTACTATTATAGTAGGCCACCATCATCTGTACTTACTCAATTTTCAGATACTTGGGGAGGAGCTTGGACCTAATCGGAAATGATGAGCATGAAATGTGGCTCACGATGATGGATGAGTGTCAGTGTGATGCCGCGATGCGAACACGACTCGCATCTCGTTCGCGCCCAATTGTATCCCGCAATATGCTCGCACCAGAGTCTCGTGTCCGCAGTCGTGTTCCCTCCAGTCACGCTCTGACGACATTTTTGCGAAATTGCAGATTGTACGTTGCGTTAATTATGTTCGTGCCGGTAACTGATACGAATAGCGCCGCTTCTTTTGTAGCCTTCGCAGTGCAAAGGAAAGAGCCACTCTTGACTAAAGTTGAGGTTAGGGAGGGGGACGCTGCGTTCCTTGGATGTTCGCACACCCCTATCCATAATCTGCATTTCATAATCAATATTCAGCGGAATGCATCTTTATACAAAGTTTGTCGTGCGTTCTTTTTTTTTTTTTTTTTTTTGCGCGCGTTTTGTCTAGCGAAAAGAACCCATATAGGTGCCCGCATGGCTCTAAATGCACTGCTATAATGCCAGACTTGTACGTAGTTCAACTACTCTACTCAAGTTACTGTAGTTTAACTACTTTTCTGAATAGTTGAGTAACTTTCAATTACATTTTTATTTCGGTAATTAGTAGTTTACTTTAATTACTTTTTTGAGTAACTTCTACTCAAGTTACAAATTACTTTTGAATTTTAGTGGTTGTTTTGCCTATCAACAATCATCCTGCACAAAGAAGATTAGATGTTGGAAGATCAGCTGATATTTGCAAAGAGGGGGAAGCCTGTGGCGTAGGAAGGGGGGGGGGGGGGAATGGTTTGAAGGGTCCGAAGCCCCCCAAAATATTTCACAAGTCCCGCCCCCCCCTCCCTCCCCCCCCCCCCCCCCCCCCCACACACACACACAGACACACACTGCAACAACACTGCTACGAGCCGCGGGGAGCGAACAGACACGACGCAAGAGAGGCCGAGTAACTGCGGAATTAGCGCCGAAGACTGGCGTTTCTTTTTGTCCCCAAGCTCAAGGACACTTGACCCATTTGAAGAAAGCGCTGGTCCCCGTTCGTCCCCAACGTACAAATTCTCGCGCATTACAGGAGGTGCACACATTGCATTTTCACTCGAAGGAGGCAAAAAAATGCAGCACCTGCTCTAAAACTCATCTGGTGCTCTCGTAGTTTGTGCTGTACTCGAAGAATCGCTTGCTAAAGGGCAACGCAAAGATTAACTTTTTGCGTTGTCTTTCCTCCCAAAACTCAGAATATGCAGATCTTCAAAGATTCAAAAATCGTTTGAGAAACCTGTAGTAATTGTCCCAACGTTTTTATATCAGCAATAATAAACAAGCAGTGTTAGGAAGTACTCTATGTACATGGTACTTAAAGTACCACTGTTCAGAAAAATTGTACCTTACTTGAAGTGAATTCTCTGAACATGTACTAGTATTTTCCGGGAGAGTAAAACTACGGACTTCCCTGTGCAAACCCTGAATTCGAAAACAAAAAATGGCATAATTTTCGTGTGAAAATGCGTTCTTTCGACACGTCATCCGGTCATTTCTCTGAGTGAAGTAATTGCGGCTATAAAACCGACAAAAATAAGCGCCTTATAACTTGAATGTGTCAATTAGCTCGTCAGCAAGAGTAAAACAACTACTCTGCGGCGACTTGACCTTATATAATATTTGCTGCCATTTCCGTAAAAAACTGATGCACCTCCGATTACTCCTGGAGCAACGCATACCAGTAAAAAAATAAATAAAAAAAACACTGTATAGGGAATGAAAGGGAATCATGAAAGATTGTGTTAAAAGTGCTTGAAATATATTGCATTTATATACGATACTTCAAGTACATTGCACCCGGTGTACTACTGCTTCACTTGAAGTACATAACTTCTCATTTACTTTGAACTTTACTTCAAGTACTTTTTAGATGTACTTTGCGCAACACT